CCAACATAGGCCAATGGTATGGAGTACTGAGCGAGTTTCTCATACAAGAAGATGCTCAAAGAATGGCTGATGCATTTCAAGGGGAGATCCCCTCTTCTTCAGAGCCAATTGTATATTTTAAGATGACAAAGTGGGCGGTCATATAAGGAGTACCACAGCCATACAATGATGCTTTGAAATCGACTAATGAATCGAGGTAGACTATTAAGGTACCAAATCACATTAATATTGTTCTGATCATTCAATATTTTATTGATTTATTTAAAGTTAAAAAAAATATTAAAAACATGCTGTTCACAGCATTAATTTCTACTATAGGACATCTCAGTCATTTAATCTGCTCCTAACCCCCACCATTTTGACACAGTTTTTCTTCCTGAAATTGGCCTGAAATCGAATAGAGGTGGACTTTTAAGGTGCCAAATCAAGACATTAGTATTGTTAAGATCAATATTTTATTGATATCATATTTAATATTTATCTGCATTCGTTATATGTGTACAATTTAATAAACGTTCATCATAGCAAAGACTCAAAATGCCACCCATGTATGTTTCTAATTATTTTCTATGACAAATGCTTATAACCCCTACACATACAATATATTGAATGTAGATACTGCATATGATTTCAATACAATATTGATCTTAACAATATTAATTTTGTGACTTGGTATCCTAAAAGTTGATTTCAGGAAGAAAAAAATGTTTTAACAGTGACATATTATATCATCCTGCAATTCAGCTGGTTTTAAAAGTGCTGAACAGGGATCAACTTTACATGCCTGGCCTCACTATGTCTCAGAACACAACCTGCAAATCCACCCTATATTTCATATCAGAGTTAAAGGTATATGTACTATGAACATTTTGCACATACAATATACAGCAGGGCTTGAAATTTCCACTCGCCTGCTCGCGGGTGTATTTCTGTGTATGTACATGTGTCTGTGTGTATGCATGTCTGTACGTGCCTGTGTGTACATGTGTGTGTATGTGTGTGTGTGTACATGTGTCTCTGTGCGTGTGTGTACATGTTTCTGTGTGTGTGTGTGTGTATGTACATGTCTGTGTGTGTGTGTACAGGTGTCTCTGTTTGTGTGTGTTTGTTGGTGGCGAGTAACTCTAAGGCCTGGCTAGTAGCTCAGGACTTGAAATTTTAGCCCTGATATACAGTACTGTATACTACTGCTGGTACTGAAATAATTAATTATAATAAACTGCCTACTAAAATATTGTCTTTTTCAAAGTTGGAGAAAAGACTCCCTACTGTCTGTCTGGGAAATGGAGGCTAAATTCAGCAAGAGAACTGTAAGAGGAAGTGGATGAAAGGGGTGTTTGGAAGTGTCAGAAGGTTCTTCATAGGTTAAGGGCCATGAAGCCATCTCTTCTTCCTCCTACTGGTGGTCTGTATGGTTGGAAAGTAGCTCCGCATACAAAGCAGCCTGTATGCTTACATCCATGATCTGCACCTTAAGCTGCCCACTATCCTATTCAACTGCTGCTCTCTTACTGTCACTATATACCTGAAGCACAGGAATGTGGCAGAGAGTTTCCCCAGGGTAAAAACAGCTTTATAAGTTCTTACAAATGCATTGACTGTGCTGAAATACCTCTAAAATTAAATAAAACATTCCCAAGTTTTGCAATTTTTTTCATATGGAACTGCTCCAAGATTTTAGTCTTGTTCCCAGAGAAAGAAAAATACACATATTATTTTCACTTAAGTAGAAAATACCGATACATTATTTTCACTTAAGTAAAATATGGCAAGAGATTTTTTTTTTAACTATGGATATATTATATTTGAAGACTGATCATCATAAATGTAATCTAATTACAATTTTAAAAATGCTGGAATGGACTGGCACCAGTTTATTCAGATTCGTGCCATTATGCACTTCTCCCTGCCAAATCATTTCTACTCAAGTTTATCCGCTCTCGACAGTCATGTTGGAAGTTGTCATGTGAGTGTTAACAGATGGTCGGAAATGTTCTGGTTAAAACTTGTTCTTCTGAACCCCTGTAAAAACTCATCATGAATCCTCTTTAGAAGAAGAAATAGAGACACATGATGGTTAAGTAAAGCATCGTGTTGTTATCTTAATGCATCTGGAATAAACAGACATCTGACATGAATTTGTGGGGGAAATCACCCAATGTTCTGTGCATGCCAATAAACAGCGGTAAGAAATCCTTGCTAATATTCTGCCAATTCTTTGCAAGGTGGGGAGGGGTTCTGCTTTGAAGTCATCAGCCAACATAGGATGTCACATGTAACTAACTAAAGGAGGAAATGTAGCCAGTGTTTATAGAGCTGATAGGCCAGTGATGGGCCAAACTGAATATTGCAACCCTCTGGAGAAATTCCTTGCTGATCTGCCTGCTGTTGCTAAATGTATGGCCTGCATTTGCAGAGAATTGTAGTCCAACAAAAATTCTTTAAACATGTATAGATTGTGTCTTGCTAAGGTCATGCTCACAAAATGGCTGTGTACAAGCAAAACAATAGATTCTTTTTTAGCTTACATAAGCTGGTATAAAAAAGCTCTATACATGTACAAGGCCAGCCACAACTCGGCCCCCAGCTACATCACTAACCTGATATCAAAATACCAACCAGATCATTCTTTTCATTCCTCTCAAAACCTCCTGATATCTAGCTCTCTTGTCAACTCCTCCCATGTTCGCCTCCAGGACTTCCCCTGAGCCTCTCCTATCCTATTGAACTCCTTACTCCAATCTGTCTATCTCCTACTCTGTCCACTTTTAGATGATCCCTGAAAACCCTTCTCTTCAGAGAGGCCTATTCTGCCTTCACCTAACAACTTTTATTTTCTCAACCAGCTCTTCCCCCACAGCTATGACCTTTTGTATCTCATGACCCTGCCTCCTACATTGTAAGCTCTAATGACCAGGGCACACTGATTCCTACTGTATTAAATAGTATTGTAAGTGTATTGTCTGCCCTCATGTTGTAAAGTGTAGTGTAAGCTGTTGATGCTATATGAATCCTGTATTCTAATAATAATAATACTAATACTAATAATAAAGGGAGCAGAAACCTTAAAGGAAAACTTGTAGTGATAGAAAAATGTGTGTTTCTATTGCTGACCCCATCTTCTGAAAATGCAAACTGCCTGACTGCCATGCTGATGCTTTGGCTTAAATATTTTTGGAATCATCAATTCTGAAGAATTATAGAAACAAAGAACACAAGATTATTTATGGCTTTCTTTTGCTGCATGTTTGTTGCAGGTATGGTTGGGTTTATTATAGGTTCCAGGTCAGTGGTTGAGAAGTATTAAGACCAGATAGAGCTGGGCAACAAGTATTTTCAGATAGAGGCCAGAAGAGCAGCTCCCTTTTTTTCATGACAGGTGTAGTTTAGAATCTAAAAACCAAGTAAGACATACAGTGATCATAAAAGCAGACAACTATTTAGGGACCTAATAAGGTATGTCACTTCCATTATCTGTTTCTTCCCAGTAACGGTCTTCTCCCTGTGGTGGGTGGTCTTGGATGATGCAGGAAGTGGCAGTGATGTTATGACTTTAGTGTCGCTCTCTGCATTAGCACATTGTAAGTGCAGGGCTCTATTCTCAGGAGAAGGTCCACGAAGACTTTCCCCAGTCTTTTGGGTTGAATGACACTGGTGCACTGGACCAATTCATGTGGTGAAGGTAGGTAAGAGGTACTGGGTTCAGTTTTGGATTAAAGGTGAAGAGCCTGATCTGCCTTTTTTAGCCTTCTAGGAGGACAATAAAAAAATTTACTTGGAGTTCAGCTTTGAGAGATTACATGGCCAGGTGATAGAGTAAAGTCTACCAGGATTTTCTCTGCAGAATTTGTATTATTATTATTATTATTATACAGTATTTATATAGCGCCAAAACGTTTGCTCAGCGCTGTACAGAGTAGTGGGGGACAGTACATGAGACAATAGAGTAACAAAACAGTATACGAGGGGTTCGAGGGTCCTGCTCTTTCGAGCTTACAATCTAGGAGGGAGGTGATAGTGGCACAGGAGGAAGTGGCTGTGGGGATTGAGTGGTAGGAGGAGTGGAGGAGATTGGCTTTTAGGTGAGAGTGGGGTAGGCTTCCCTGAAGAGATGGGTTTTCAGGGTGTGACTGAAGGTGAGAAGGGTAGGTGACAGTCTGATGGATTGGGATAGTGAGTTCCAGAGGATGGGGGAAGTCCTGGAGAAGTCCTGCAGTCGGGCGTGGGAGGAGGAGACCAGGGAGCTAGAAAGTAGGAGATCTTGTGAGGAGCGAAGAGAGAGGGTTGGGTGGTATTTGGGTATCAGGTCGGTGAGGTAGTTCGGGGCAGCGTTATGAATGGCTTTGTACGTCAGTGTTAGTAGTTTGAATTTAATGCGTTGGGCAATCGGAAGCCAGTGGAGGGAATGACAGAGGGGGGTGGCAGATGCGGAGCGGTTGGTAAGGTGGATGAGTCTCGCTGCTGAGTTCAGGATAGACTGAAGAGGGAATAGCCTGTGTTGGGGTAGGCCGGTGAGGAGGGAGTTGCAATAGTCGAGTCGTGAGATAATAAGGGAGTGTATGAGTTGTTTAGTAGTGTCTGGAGTTATGAACGTGCGTATTTTGGAGATGTTGCGGAGGTGGAGCCTGTATGAGTTTGCCAGCAATTGGACATGGGGTTGGAAGGACAGGTGTGAGTCTAGAGTGACACCTAGGACTTTGGCTTGCGGGGTGGGACTGATGGTGGCGTTGTTGGTCGTGATGGAGAGGGTGGGGGTGGGAGCGCGGGCTGGGGGGAAAATTAGGAGCTCGGTTTTGGAAAGGTTTAATTTGAGGAAGTGGAGCGACATCCATTCTGATATGTAGTTCAGTAGGTGGGTGATACGGGCGGAGACTGAGGGGGTGAGGCAAGGGGTGGAGAGGTAGATTTGTGTGTCATCGGCGTAGGGCTGAGGTCAAAAACTCTCTAGAAGGGGAAGAAGTCAGTTAGGGGCAAGATGAAAAGTAATATTATAAGCATACCTGTCTACACTCAGAGCACACAGGTTGAGCACTGTGATTCCAACTGAAGCCTTCTGAACGAATGGAAAGACCTTGCAAAGAACTGCTCCCACTGGGGACTGATCAAATGGCCACCGCTGTGCAAGAAGCTGAAAAAGAACACAGCATTAGATGGTTGTATTTTATGTGGACATGTTTAGTATTGTATACATAAATTGTACAGTAATTGCATTACAAACATTCCAGGGTACATAAATAACAGGAAAGAAACAGTACAACATCCTAAAAAAAATGTTTTGCATCAATAAACCTGTTTAAGAGCATCCCAAAAATACACAGTGCAGCAGCACTTAATCTTATCCTTTCAGTTATATGAACCTCTACCCTACATTAAAGTAACACTGTCACAAGGTAAGTATGGGGGTTGCCATTGTTGGCCTCCTGAAAAAAACACTAGTTGTTGGCTGTGCCCAAGTACATTTGAGTCATAGAGTCAGCACAAGCATTCTGTAAATGAGTGTCAGAAGTTTGTCAGAAGTTTTAAACTCTATATTTGTTCCGGGTCAGTGGTTTAGAAGGCATTGAAGTTAAAGCTTCATCAGTATAGGAAGGAAACTAGGATTCTCAAAAGAAGATTTCCCCAATGACAGGCTTCACATGACAGAGATCCATTAAACATGAAAGTAGATGATCATTAAAGCTTGCCATAGATGGATCAAATTTTGGCTGGTTCAGCAGAGAGTGGACGAATTTCGATCCAAATATGGCTGTTCCTGTTTGTGAGAAGTTGACCTAATGATCAGCTTTTCACAAATGGGCTTGTTGGAAAATCTTTTTCCGATTGGCTGCAGCATTGATCAGCTTGCCAAATGGCTGCAGCGCTTATAAGTGTATTCTGACAGCAGAAGAGTCTCCGATGTCAGAGTACAATACCGCAGCGGGGAGGATTCCCCCATCCACCTGAAATGTGTGAAAGGGGGAATCCATTCAGTTTCTTTCAATCAGCCTGCTGGATCGAAGAAAAAAAAAGAGATGAATGTATGGCCAACTTTAGTGTTTGAGTGTGAACGGTTGGAATTATATTCAGTGCATCCTACTAGGACACCCAATCCTTAAAAATTCAGAGCAAAAATCTGAATACAAGTCTCATATTGACAATACTGTTGGGTTATACTGTGTACATTTAGACCATGCTTATAATTATGCAGTGGTGTTCCCTCCCTCCCTTCCTCCCTCTATCCCTCTCCCTTTGAACTTAGTATTGTTTTAGACAGAAACAGCTACTACATTTCCTCCCAACCAAAACAAAATATATGCATTGTGAGATCATATACTGCATCCAGGGAGTTACTGCAAGTACAGTATGCTGTGCTATGTAACAAATGATTAACAATGAGGAAGAATCTAAAACTGAAAATACAATGAATGCCTTTCTTAAACCAGCATTTTAAGCTGCCTGAGCCATTTTTTTCTTTCACACGTTACCTTTTTAATGAAAATGCGTGAAAACCCCCAAAACATTATACTGTAAATTTTCTAACAGCAAAGTATCTGTAGAATAAAAGTGTGGTAGTTGCAATTTCTATGTTGCATGATTTTAGCACAACTGTTTACCAAACCTATATTTTTAGTAAAAAAAAGCAAAAAAAAGTAAATTAATTATAGTGCACACAAACACAATAAAATCTCTGAAATTTCTGTATATTTTCAGTAAAAAAAAAGCTGAGCAATGTACATAGATACCAAATATGTCAGGATTTAAAATAAGTGTGGCTGCGAAATGGTAACTATACTTGGTGATTCTTTAAAATCCTTTATAGGTCATCAATTTCTCTCATTAAGGCATGCATAGCAATGCCTCATATTTTTCAAACATCAGTTATGTAAAAACAAGTGCATAAGTTTGTAAAAGTATGCACATAGGGCTGGGGGGAGGGGCTTTATTTTTTTTAACACTTATTACATTATATTTTATATTTATTACATTATATTTCAAAAGTTAACACTCAGTTGTTTTACTGCCTGAGATCTAACAGCTCTGAACCCCAAAATGTTCAGGGCTGAGTGTTTCAGGTTAATTGATCTCAAAAGAAATTGGGAAATGGACAACCCTTATTTCTCTACTGCATTCCATCCTAAGAGGAGTGATGGATGCCTTTAACTCATGGAGTGCACAAATGAGCAGGGACACATGTGGGGCATTCGCACAGTTCCTGGATTATAGAAGCTATTGGGCAGGTTTACATCTGAATTATATATATATATATATATATATATATATATATATATATGAAAGCCCAAAGCCTTTTCTGTAAAAAGTAAAGGAACTGTGTTTACATCCCAAAACTGCCACTGCGTAATACTTATGGTAGCAGTAAAGGGGTTAAAGCAGGTAGTTATTATAACTCATGTCATCAGGAAATAGGACTTTTTATGAAGGAGAGGCAAATGGTACAAAGTGTATCTAATGCTTCCTCAAGGCACTCCTGTCATTTATTATGTACATGTTTCTCCTAAGAGCCAATTCAGCATCTTAAAAGACGAGGCCCTTCAGCACTTTCTTCCTCATAGGTCTGCTTAAGTTAAAGCAGCACCATGATGTTTACTGGCACTGACGATATAGTACTTTAGCACTGTGAAAGTGGTAGGTTCAATATCAAGCATGAACTGCAAAAAAGTACTTGTCTATTCTAAGGGCTTTCTGAAACTAGCCCTGATCATAATCCCACTCATAACACAACCAATAGCCCTTCATTAAGCTGAATCTGTACTTTGCCAATGCTTTGGTGATTGGCTCAGCACTTTCAAATAGGAATAGGGAGAAAGTCGATAACCACTAAACAGTGACAGGAAAGTCTGGCTGCTGGTGAAAAGGGATGTTATGTTGCTTGCCATCATTGCATGTATGCAATGTAACCTGTCTCCTTTAGTCAGCCATTTGCAGAAAGTAATAAAGTGTCATTTTACCATATGCACTATACAAGCAGCTATCAAGAGAAACCTTGCATCTGTAAAAAGGAAAACGGATGGACACCTTATAAATCAGATGTTGGGTGAATAAACCCTTTGCACATTATCATTCAAGCTTGGGAGACCATTACCTTGGTATGATAACTATGCAACAAATGGTATTGGTGAAAACACTACACCACAACTCTGCAGAGTACCATTTACAATCTCTGACTTTGCAATTCCTACACAGGCAGTAGGTTTGCATTGGGAATAAAAAAAAATGCATTTCTGGATGTTTTATTAGCAAATTACCAAAAAACTTGCTTAGTCATCTCTCCCGTTTTCTTTTTGGGATGTTGTGAAAATAATCTGACTGATGACGTAACATGAACACAGAAGAACAACCGAAAACTTGACCAAGGATCTTTGTATTTTCTTTAATTGTTTTCCAAAATTACTGTAGTCTATTTTCTGTTCCTATTAATGTTTCCCATCATCTGATCTAGTATGAAACACAAATTAACTAAAACAGCAAAGCAGGGATTAAACATGGTTGACCGTAACAGCTCTAGGCTTTACAGTTCCTCTACATTAAATCCATCTGTGTTCAGGAGATGATGTTGATGCAATGATTACTACTCTGAATGCAATGAAAGTACTCATTTTACAACTACGGATCATACAAAGCAGTAGGCATGACAAATCAGTGTCTAAGTAGGTAAACACTTAATGAAAACATTTTTGTGGCTGGCCTCTTTGTACCATTACCAGGCATATAAACCTGTGCATTTAAGCTATGCAAAACCACACAGAGGCCAAGTCCTCCTGTGCAACCTAACATGACACAGGACATATTACCCATTTCTTTTTACTTATCCTATTAGTTTACTGCTATTGATATGATAGACACTTAGGCAACACTAACATACCAACCCCATGAATGTGGGATAAGCATAAAACTCCAAACATACTACAAAGCTATAGCCTTTGGGAACTGAAGACCACAAAGAAAACTAGAGGTACTCAATGTAGATGTTCTTAAGTGCCTGAATCATCCACCTTCTGTGGTCATTAGGAGTCTAACCTTTCACTGCTCCTGCTAAAGCAAAAGAAATGCATTAGGAAGGGTCAAGTACTCCAGTGAATAGATCCTGCCAGTGTGGTTCCCAAAAGAAGTCATCAGTGGGTAACTCCGTCCATCTGGGTCTACCCATATCTGAAATTCAAGTTTAAAGTAAAAGCAACATTTTTTCTTTTTAGTTTTGGATAGAGTGGAGAGGGATTAGAACACCTATCGGTTTTTATTGATGCTTGTGCCCCTGTTAGTGAGATGTACCCTCTGTATTTGTCCTGTTTACCATTAGCATTGAAAGTAAAAGTAAAAGATAATCCTAAATTTTGGGTTGACATTGGAACTGCATTAGATGAGAAATCTTTCAATGGGTACACTAGTTCTGGTGACCCTGGCAACAACTAGGTATTCCCTCACTTTTGAGGGATTTCCACCTGTTTTGGCTATGGGACAGGAGTTACTTTACTCTATGCAGAAAAAAAAAAAAAAGTTTTGCCTTTAGTTACACTTTAAAGCAGCTCTCTAGTCTCCCCACCAAAAATTAAAAGCCAGCAACTACAAATACTGTAGCTGCTGACTTTTACTATAATGACACTTACCTGTCCAGGGATCTGGTGCTGTCCTCAACTGAGGCGGTTGTTCAATCGGCTTTGAGTCCATGAGCTTGCATCTTAACTAAGGGAAAAGATTCCCACTGCGCATGCGCGAGCCACACTGTGCTTTGTGAATAGTCATGCAGTCTTCTGGGACCTGTGATGTGTCCGAGAAGGCTGAAGAGGAAGGGGAGACTTCTGCTCTAATCGCAGAGGCGATCCAACTGGAAGTAGGCGCAGGTATCTCTCAAAAACAGGTATCCGCTCTCTCCCTCCCAAAAAATGCCAAATGTTAAGGGGGGGGCGGATGCAAATAAGTGGAACTTCCCCTTTTAGATGAAATTATGCTTTTAAGGTTCTAAAAGCAAATCTGTGCTTTGCCTAGGGCAAAGCAATAGGTTCAATTTAATGCAGATGTCCACAGCAGTAGATGCTTACCTTTCTTGTGCTTCCCTGCCACTCTGTTCAACAGCCAGAAACTAAAGGAAAGCCCTATATAGGTTATAAGTCAATCATAGAAAATTGTTAGTAAATAATTAGGGAATTATTTAAATAATCTCCTTGCAAAATTGGCCAAAGTCAAGACTTTTCAAGCAGAAAACCTCTGCAGCTGGTAAAGTATAATTTGCACACCATCATTGATTTGTTCTTCTTTACACCCAGAACCAGACTTAGGTTCCAGGGTGCATTGGGCTTGATCGCATATGGACAAATCTGGTCATTTGCCCCTGCCAAACTTGCAGATTACTCATTGGAAAACATAAAGTAATAACCATTTTTTTTTTTACATATTTTTAACTTTTAATTATTTTTTTTGGAGGGGGAAGGAATTAGTTATTTTGGATGGTGGGGTTCTAGGAAATACAGCTTTAGTCTCAACGTTTATTCTATTTTTTTTTTTTTTACATATTTTTTTTTGTTATGGGTATTTTAGACTAAACACAAAATAATAATGGAATTTGAATCCCTAATGTGATATTGACATTGCATCAAACTGCTCATTAATTCCATCACAGATAATAATAGTTTGTTGGCTGTACACTGACATCTGTGAGATAACTCAGTCCCCCTGGAATGCATCGAGCATCGAGGTATACACATCTTTTCCACAGAGCAGTCACACAGCAGGGGAGACATGTATCCTCTGGATTTCTTCTCAAGTGTAAATACAACTTGTTTCTCGTAATCATCAAAAGCGGAAACCGTTTTTTAAGAGAAGCAGCTATGTCACCCACATGACATTTGAAAACATGGTCAGAAACACATACACAAGTTGCTTCTTTGGTAAACATTTCCAAGGACGTTTACAATCGTATAAATGGGGATTCTTGGGAAACAACGTTGAAAATACGTAAAACATACAATATTAATATTTATTCTTTGGAAAATGACAGAGCTTTCCATCTTGCACAGCTTCAGAACCTTGTTTCTCTTTTATGGATTTTAGCTAGTCGAAGATGATTTGCAGGCTGCTCTTTGTCTATGTGTTTTCAGATGCTTGTGAGACTCTCAGCAAGGCCAGGATATACAAGGAGCTCTCTCCCCAACAACCTTTTAACCTTTTATACTCAAGGTCTTCACCTATGCCCAGAATCCTTCACTTTATCAACAAATCCTGCTTTCTAGTAAATTACACAAATCCTGCTTTGTAAATTCCACTGTCACTAATGGATTCATGTGCCCCATTTGAAGTGGAACAATAGCGATATGGTGCATGCATAAACCCAATTATTTATTGCCATTACATTAGATACAAATTTCACAGCACCATCTACTTGCAATTAAATCACACGATTAACCTCCCTGGCGGTATGATTATTTCAGATTTTTGGTGCTGAAAGCAGTACCATTATTTTCCATGGAAATTTGGCATTTTATATTGTAGGCCTGTAATTTTTAGGAATAACTCACTGAAATCTGTCCAAACAAGAGTCTAGTAAACATTCCGGATATGATAAAACTTGAAACACCAAATCATAAATTATAATTTAATAAATAATCATAAAAAATAATAATATAATAATAATACATTTAATTCAATAATATAATCAAACAAAAAACACTGAAATTTGAAGTATAGCGCCAAGTTCACACATCGCTGAGCTCAGTCGCAAAATTGTTTTCAGTGTCTGATGACGAATTTCCCCACGAATCATTATCACTCAATTCTGCAAGTAGGTCTAATTTACTATTGCTGTTCTCTAGCTGGTCTAAAACCACTTTTGACCTAAAGGGACGCTTTTTGGACGCCATGGACGTTGCTGTTTCCTGGCAATAAGAACAGTAAAAATGCAGGCAGGGCACAGGACAGCACTAGGGCCAAAATGTATGTGAAATGGTTTGATACAGTAATGTTATACTATGTGATTTTAGTGAATGTCACTTTTTGTCATTTTCAAATTTCCCGCCGTTCCATCCCCCGTACGTCCCAACGTCGCAGGGAATGGAACCCGGAAGACGGATGCCAGCATCCGCCGTATTACATTGCCAGGGACACTGCAGGAGGGACATCGTGGGAGCGCAGGACAAGGTAAGTGATTGAGGGATCGTAGAGCAGTGCCACATGGTATTCCCGAGTGTAGCTCGGGGTTACCGCTTGTGGTACTGAAACTTTACCCCGAACCACACTCGGGAATACCGCCAGGGAGGTTAAAGTACAACTAAAGGCAAAACTTTTTTTTAGTTTTTGGATAGAGTGGAGAGGGATTAGAACACCTGTCAGGTTTTTATTGCTGTCTGTGTTCCTGTTAGGGAGATTCACCCTCTCTAATTGTTGTGTTTACTGCTAAAGCTGAGAGTGAAAGAAAATCCCACATTTTCTGTTGTCACCAGAACAGGGAAAGAGGGGAAATCTTTGACACTTTGGAAGAATATCCTTTCACTTTCTGCTCTGTCTATGGGACAAGAAGTAAAGGACAATCTACACAATGGGACACAGATGGTAAAACGGGGGTTATAAACCTTCCTTACTCTATCCATAATGAAAAAAAAAAGTTTTGTAAATAGTTAATTTTATGATGCTGACAGCCTGCTTGTACAATATTTAGACAGCTTATTTACACTTTAAACTGGTATATACTGTACTATACCAGGGGTCACCAAACGTTCTAAACAAAGGGCCAGTTTACTGTCCTTCAGACTTTAGGGGAGCTGGATTGTGGCCAATGAGAATAGAAAAGGTCCTGACATCAGTGGAAATAAACAATACCCCATCTTTGGTGTCAGTGGGAGGAATTGAGCCCTATTTTTGGTGTTAGTGGCAGGAATTACACCCCATTGTTGGCGTTAGGCAGTGGAACTGTGCCCATCATTGGTTTCATTGGGAGGAATTGTGCCTCTTCATTGCTATCAGTGGGGGGTAATTATGATCCATTGTTGGTATTAGTGGGTGAAATAGGGCCCAAGGGCTGGATAAGAGCAAGCAAAGGGATGCATGCAATCCCCAGGCTGCAGTTTGGAGACCAATGTACTAAACAAATGAATTAAATATTCATCACAATTATGTGGAGCAATTCCACACGTGACCTAAACCAAAGGCTAAGATCACATGGTATATAGCTACTAACAGACTGATGTTTTAAGTCATTATATAAAACCAGCTGCTTGTTTGCAGACTTTCAGTGAGATAAAAGAGTTGGCAACCAGGAAGCAGAACCTATATCTGCAATGCATGAGGGTGGTCACAATTTACTACCTTTTTTATTTATTTTTATTTATTTCAGGTACTTATATAGCGCCGTCAATTTATGCAGCGCTTTACACATATATATTGTACATTCACATCAGTCCCTAACCCTCAAGGGGTGTACAATCTAAGGTCCCTAACTCACATTCATACATACACACATACTAGGGCCAATTTAGACAGGATCCAATTTACCTACCAGCATGTGTTTGGAGTGTGGGAGGAAACCGAAGTACCGGGAGGAAACCCATGCAGGCACAGGGAGAACATGCAAACTCCAGGCAGGTGGTGCCGTGGTTGGGATTCGAACCAACGACCTTAGTACTGCCAGGCGGAAGTGCTAACCATTTAGCCTTTTTTGTAAATTTACATGATTTACCGTATATACTCGAGTATAAGCCGACCCGAATATAAGTCGAGGTACCTAATTTTACCACAAAAAACTGGGAAAAACTATTGACTCGAGTATAAGCCAAGGGGGGAGGAATAGTGCCCCATCGTTGGTGTCAGTGGGGGGAGGAATAGTGCCCCATCGTTGGTGTCAGTGGGGGGAGGAATAGTGCCCCATCGTTGGTGTCAGTGGGGGGAGGAATAGTGCCCCATCGTTGGTGTCAGTGGGAGGAATAGTGCCCCATCGTTGGTGTCAGTGGGGGGGAGGAATAGTGCCCCATCGTTGGTGTCAGTGGGGGGAGGAATAGTGCCCCATCGTTGGTGTCAGTGGGGGGAGGAATAGTGCCCCATCGTTGGTGTCAGTGGGAGGAATAGTGCCCCATCGTTGGTGTCAGTGGGGGGAATAGTGCCCCATCGTTGGTGTCAGTGTGTCAGTGGGGGGAATAGTGCCCCATCGTTGGTGTCAGTGGGGGGGAATTGTGCCCCATCGTTGGTGTCAGTGGGAGGAATAGTGCCCCATCGTTGGTGTCAGTGGGGGGAGGAATAGTGCCCCATCGTTGGTATTAGTGACACCAATGATTGGGCACTATTCCTCCCACTGACACCAATGATAGTTACTTTGCTGACCCCTGCTCCAGCCTGGGCTCGCTTGCTCCCTCCCTCTCCCATGGTACACACTTACCGGTCAGATGTCTTCCTTCTCCGGCCGCTCTCCTCCTCTTCACTCGCTCGATCTTTGCGTTGCCGCTCGGCTCCTCCTCTCCAAGCTCCCCTCCTCGCGGGTGATTGGGCGCCTGTGTGCCTCTCCTGAGCTACAGTTCCAGCGGCCAATCACCGGCGAGGATTGATCCCGGGGTTGTGTCCAGATGACAGGGACGGCATGTCATCCCGCCCACACCTGGAGACGGATAGAGGAGCGGTGTCTCGGTTCCTAAGGCAATCGGAAATATGTGTTTTCCGATGGTCTTAGGTGACCCCTGTGAAAGTGTCGTTCAACCCCCAAAGGGGTCGCGACCCACAGGTTGAGAACCGCTGCTTTAGAAGCAGCGCCCCCTGCTAGACATCTGCAGACGTTGACTCGAGTATAAGCCGAGGGGGCCGTTTTTCAGCACAAAAAATGTGCTGAAAAACTCGGCTTATACTCGAGTATATACGGTAAACCATTAAGACACAGCAATTAGATCATTTCCATGAAAGCAAAATATAATGATTACACAAGACTAACAATGGTGCCAATTTAAAGTCAACCCATAGCCAGCTATTGAGGTGCAAGTATTTACTACATCATAGTCCTTTTCCCAGCAACTAGGCCATCCTTCTCCCTCTCTGAGCAGTGATTCAGTAGCCTCCAAATCTTCAAATCTCTAAGCTAAACACAGAGCAAGAGCTCCGGGGTAGGTGGACAAGGTGAGAGGAGCTTCTGGGAAAATGACTTCAGTGATGTCAGTGCTTCCACTTTGAAATTTGAGAATGAGATGCTCTGCCAAACAGAGGTCAATGAGGGCTTTTTTTAAAGCCCATTTGCTGCTTTTTAAGAATATGTAGATACTTGAATGTCAGCCAGGACACTCTTTAAAGTATATATTAATTAAGGACATGTAAACCTTTTGGCTTCCGTAGAATAATAATTAACTGGTTTACACCACTGAGTGACTTCTAGACTTTGCAATAAAGACCTTTCTGCATATTGTCTGTCTTCTTGGAAGTCTATGAGGAAATCTTGGTCACCTTAGGAGATGAAGACACTGGCTCTAGCTACTGGAAGTGGCCCCAGACAGTTTATTTTCAAGTTGAAGAGAAGGCATTCAGGAACACTGAGGTCAGTGTGATTTACAGACTACATTTAAACCCAATCTCACTCCATCTCTGCTGCCTTTATTTGTGTGAAGCTGCTCTAAAAACTTTGATGTCATTTATGTAAATAGAATCTGTTTCTTGAAAATAAATTTTTTCCTGAGTTTGCCAAAACTACACAAATCCCTTGTGGTTGATTTAGAGTTAAAACCAGGAGTTTGGCAGTTTCTGGACAAGTAGCATTACGCAGAACATCAAGTTCACATAAAAAGTATTTTACATTATTCAGAATTACTGACGAACTACAGCATTGTGACTCATTTAAGTATGGGACTGCAAAGACTGGGAAATGTGTGCATTAAATTGAGTCTGCATTTTTAGCTCACAAATGATCATACAGATATGTGGGTTTGTGATGGTAGAATTTTCAGCATTTCCGGAAGCAAGAAGCCTGGCACAACAGTTCTTGCCTAGAGAGAGTTTAGAGCCAGCTAAAACAAAACATCCTTCATCTCTAGGTTCTAGCCTATGCTTAATGGTTAAAGTAGAACTATAGGCAAAACGTTTTCTTACATTTTGGATAGGAGGGTTATAACCCTTGTCAGGTGTCCCATTACAGAGATTCTCCTTTAATTCCTGTCCCATAGCCATACAAGAAGTGAGAGAAAATCCCTGAAAATTCTTTAAGGACCCCCAGTTGACCAGAACTACCCCATTGGAAGATTTCCCCTCTGTTACTTTTCTGGGAACAACACAAAATTTGGGATTTTCTATTACTTTCACTTTCAATGATCATGGTAAATAGGATAAATAGAGAGGATGAACCTCAATAACGGGGAGACAGACACCAATAAAAACCTGACAGGTGTTCTAATCCCTCTCCACTCTATCCTAAACTAAATAAAAAGTTTTGCCTTTAGTAAATCTCCATCCACAAAGTTGTTTAACACTTATTCTAACCCTAAAAAGCAGCCACTGAACACTTCACCCAATCCCCAAATGTACCCTACAATGAACTTTTCTGATTTGTATCCTTTTGGTCTGTTAAATTTACTGTTTGATAGGTGCAGAAAAACGAATAATACTAACTTCCCTCTTTCTTGGCTTCAGAAATGCTCTTTTCACTCAGCATTATTCCCAGTTCTCTCTGTAACCTACAGAATACCTCCCACCCTATGTTATGGAGATGATGAGAAAGGGATATGTTCTACAGTCATAAAAAACTCTTCCTGTCCTACTGTGACAATGCTGTTTCCCTATAGATACAGTACTGTGAGTGTTGTTATCCTCGGACCAGAAATGTGTTACTGGCAGGATCCCCAGATGATAATAAAAAGAAAAAAAAACTTGATAAAGATACTAATGCAGTCACCCCATCTAATGTCTGGTAAGCTGTAATATGTTACATCTTTGTTATTGAACCCTCTTAATGTATTACTGTAAGGCAATCAGGCTGCATATACAGTAATAAATATGCCCTCTTTTTCAACGTTTTGCATGTTGAACTGCTGGAGTATCTGGTGCATGAGAGTCATAGTCTGACACTTTTATGTGCTGGTAACACAAGATTATTCACCCCTTTCTGCAATACCTAAAGTGTTACTAAACCCACAACAGTAAAATCAGTCTGTATATGCAGTAAAGCATGCTTGTTATACTCACTGTGGAACCTAAGGGGTTAGTCCTCTGCATTGTGTAAAAAGGATGTTTGCTCCTCTCTTCTCTGATCTTCCCCTTCTTCCACAGTCCCCAATCCATCTGCTGATAGAACAGAGCCGTGGGGGCAAGCTGCACATGTTCAGTTTGGTGTGTATTGCTAGAGAGTTTTTTTATTTCTTTGGAGAGTGATGTGATCAGCACAGGGCCAATCAGCACTGTCTAGACAGAGGTCAGGGGTCCTACATCCTCCTAGAGGAGAATGAAAACTCCTCCTACAAGCTTTAACCAGTGCTCTGCTAGACACTGATAGAAGTTACAAGACTGTTCTAACTGCTGATGAGTAAAGGTATTTACTAAAATAATTGCATTTCCATGTTCTGTGCACTGTGGGAGACCAGATATATTGAATGCAGGGTCCTGGGTTTATTAACACTTTAAGTGACAAAAAAGTGAAAAAAAAATGTATCCTGGCTTCCTTACTGTAATAAATGAATTAAATTAATCCGGACTTCAGTGTTAATCTTCAAGTCCTACACTAATGCATACATTTTGCCTATAACTTAACATGACAATACTGCATAAATTCTAACCCTAACATTTCAAATGAACCCCTAAATAATGTGTTTCTATACACTGCCATACTTTATAAGGCACTGCAGCTATCGGTGCCAAAAGAATGCAAAGTTCTTTACACTAAAAACTACTCATCTGAATTTTTTTTTCATTCTTTGACAGTGGTCCTTTTATATTATTGCTTACAGTAGAACCATAGCACTAAATAAATAGGGAATTAAGGAAACATACCAGTACTTGGCAAACAGCTAGATATAAACTAATATATTAATAGATATCCATATCTTTAGTGCGACCATTGCAGGCAAAGCTTCCCACAATTCTAGTATCTTCCAGTGATAATGATCTCAGAGGTGATGTATATATTAAAAAAAGTTCTAAATACCATTTTTTCTCAGTTGCTTAAGGGGCTTAGAGAGCTGAAGGTGGAGACTGAAAGGGGCAGAGAAGCAGCAGTACACAGATCTTCCCAGTGAAGAACTGTGCAGGTGCCCCGGGGCATGTCAGCACAAGTCTGATCACTGGAGGACAGGAAGTCTGTACTGCCAAGTAGAATTCAAAGAAGAAATTTGATCATGTTGGGATAGATATGCTTTCCTGCCCTAGCATGGTCAGTTTGAAATAGGAAAGCACGGGGACTGACCAGAAGGACAGGATACCTTTTAAAAAAAAGTACACTGTACAAAAAGCACATATCAAGAATATGAAATGGGGTAATATCCACTTTAATGTAAACATTTTTGACTATTGTTAAAGGATAACTAAACCTAAGAACACAAATTTAATATATTACAGCTTACCAGCCTTTAGATGTAGACTTTTTTTCTTTTTTTTTTCAGCAAGTACAGAAAGTACTTGTTTATCTTACCAGAAATGCTGATCTAAATACATAAACAGAAGCACTACTTGAAGGACCTGAACAGCATTTAAATGCTTGTAAACTGAGGGAAGGGGCAGATTTTTTTAATTATTTTGAAAATCTCCAACCAGTGATAGAAAGGACTAAGCAGACCCTTATCAGATAAGAATTTGCTCCTGATTTCACTGATATGCCATCATATTATTGAACAGAAGGCTACATTTTAAAAGGTTTGCACAAGCTTACTTGGAAAGCATTAACTGTGCGGATGAGAAACTTAATAAAATTTATTTCCCAGCGTACATTTTAGGCTTCTGATTGGCTCTGAATGACCAGATTAGTGGTAAAGGTATTTCATCCTTGAGATCAGACAGAAATGTATTTCGTCCAGGAGATCAGACAGAAAAGTATTACACAAGAAGTGAGATGCATCATATTACATTCATTTTTAGGTATTACAATGAAAAGA